CGGCCGCGGCGGCGCCCTCCTTGACGGCGATGACGAATGTTCTTCCGCTGTTTAGCCCCGCGGTGCGGGCCGCGGTGGCGTGGCGGCACCACGGCGTCCCCGCGGCGTCCCGTGGAGACGCGTCCATCACGGCGCACTTCACTGTCACGCCCCTCCCCCGCTCCGGCCTCCGCGCCGCCGCCGAGCTGGCCGTAAGGGTTGTAGTCGTCCCGCGAGAGGCCGGCGAGGCCGCGATGCAGGCCAGGATGGACTGCCCTTCCAGAGCGCTCCAGGCCGCCGTGGCGCTCCAGGCCGCTCCAGGCCGCGTCAAACAAATGGCGTTCTGGCGAAACACTGCGGTAGGAGGACCCGCCCCGGGCACCCTTGTCCGGAGTCCGGCGGGGCGGCCAGGCAGGCGTGTAGCGGAGCAGCGGGTCCGGCGCGCCCCGGCGTTGCCTCTGCCCCGCTAAAAGCACTCCACTACACCCGAGTGGGGGGCGGGTCGCGTCCAACATTCCGAATCGCGTGTTTAGGGAAGTCACCGCGGGAGCAGACACTCGAGACACTGTGCGGGGTACTAGGCCGCGACGGGGCGTTTACGTCACCCCACCTTCCCTTCCACGACTGCGAACTGGACTTTAAATTCCACTAAGTTTTTCTCGACCGAAAACCTTTTCCATTGTTTTCTACTCTCCTTTTCTATATTCGTGAACCGTCTCCGTGTTTGTTGATCGACTGTAGAGATGAGATCCCTAGATCCCCAGCCCGGCCGGCCCCACGCCGCGGTTGACCTGCCGCGGACACAACGCCCTGTGTTCGGATGAACCGGACCACACTGTGAGTCGGACTGAACACGAGCCACCCGCGCCACTGTTGGGGAAATCATGATAAAATAGACAGAGACCACTTAAAAATCAAGTAAATTTGTTTATTAAAATAACTAGTAATAATTATACAAGGACTGTACAATCGCTTGAGGAATGTACATGAGCTCAAAACAGACATAAATTACACAACCTACTTTCATTTTTCCAGAAAAAATCCTATAAAAATATAGCAGCGTATCACACAGTCGTTTGGAGCAAATAATTATATAAACTCTTGATCATAAACAGACATCCTCTGATTGAAAATATACATTAGCACTCATGAAATAAAAGTAATCAGGATTCATCCACAAAAATAACAAATATTTACTGTAACAATCACAGAGTAGTCAAAGAAAATGGATATGCAAGGCCAGCCGTAACTTTGCAGAATTTGGCCCTGAATTCATGAAGCCCTGCAATTTCTTACACATTTTGTACATAATAAATATCACAAATTGAGCTTCATCAAAGTAGAAATACATGATATGGAGAACCCTCAGGTATGAACAATTAGCACCATTAGGCCAGCCCATATAAACCAGAAGCACAAATTCTTCTGTTCAATCAAAACTTAATATCAAAATTATTCAACACAAGAAAATAGGCTCGACGCAAAAACGTGATGAAAATACAGAGCAAAAATAACATTACATATATAACATCTATTTAAACTTCTTGGACAAGATATAAATGTACTTTCAGAATATATATTTATACGTTGGTATCTTCAAATCCGTGTTGGAGCCGTGCTGGGAATAAACGCGCGCACCGTCAGCGCAGCGGGGGCGATCATGCATGGCAAGTCGATGGCTCGACGAGCTGCAAAACAAGCGGCGTACAGTCGCGCATCGCGTCTCGAGCCGCTGCGCGCTGCGCCCTCTCTAACTCCAACGGACGCGCGCCAACGGATGAACGGATGACTGCGGCCGCCTCTGACCTCCGCCGCTTCTCGGAAGACTCGGGAGGAGCGGAGGACTCGCTGCAGCTCGACTGTGTCACTCTGTCTCCCTCGCACCCATGGGGCGTCCCGTCGGGGTGCGAGAGAGACAGAGCGAAGACTGCGGCGCGGCGTTCGTCGTCTGGCCGGGCGTCGCGACCCCGGCGCGTGGTGGCAGTGGCGCCCTCGGCGAGCGCGCCGAGCGCGGCGAGCGCCGAGCAGCGAGGGGACGCTCATGGGCCGGGCCAGATAGCAGCGTGGATATGGCACCGAGATTCAGGGGGCCCAGAGAGGCGCAGAGAGGCCCATGGACCAGCCGCGCCGCCCAAAAATAGCACCCGAGCCGCACAAGGATCTGAAACAAAGACAAGAAGGCGCGGGAATCAGCACACTGCTACCAACACGACAGCAATTTCTCATACACGAAGTTTCGCCCGAGAAAAAAAAAACACGCCATGTCGCATCCTGCTGCTTCCTTTGCGGAGCCGAAAAAAAAAAAACGGACAACCGGCCTGGGAGACTCTGAAACTCCCCGCGCCGCGATCCAGGACGCACCTGTGATAGCAGCAGAGCCAGGGCGTGACTGCTCCCCGAGAAGACCAACCATGTGTCGTTCATGAATCATTAGAGCACGCATCAAGGGGCGGGGGCGAAGGGGGCGGGGGACCAACCGTCGTCAGAGACCACGCACTCTGGGAGGGGGAGGGGGCACGCTTTGAGAAAATGAACCCCCAGGACACAGCACGGCAGGGAAGGGGCCGCGGGGGCCAGGGGCCGAGGGGCCCAGGCGGGAGGGGAGGGGCACTTGGAGTCATCTCTCGTTCCCCCCTGTTAACGTTGTACTTCGTCATTTTTTTCCCACACCGCCCTCCCCGCGAGCCCCCCGTCCTGCGACGCCCCTCTTGTCATGTCCCGTTTTTATATGCTTCCAGCCGCGCGCTGCCCCCCCCCCCCCCGCCCCCACCCCCGGCCCCGCCCCGTCACTAAATTTAGAGAGCCTCCCCCAAGTGAATGGTGGTCGCTCTCTGGCGCCGAGACGCGTCGCTCCGGGACCACAATCAGAAGGCGCGACAATACATGCGATTGCTGGGGCTGGCACACTGGCGCGCTGGCGCCCGGCTCGCAGAGCAAACGGAAGTAAAAAGCGTGCCGCCAAATTAAATTTAAGTTTCTCGACAGACGCTCACTCACACGCGTCAAACGTCCTGCGCGACGGGACGGACGGACCACGGCCTTGGTTTCGCTCGCAGCGCCGAGCTTTGTCGCTCGCGACGCCCCCAAGAGACGCTCCACGAGTGCGAGAGAGACAGAATGAGGACGGAAACCGCGGTTCGGAAGCAGACTGCGGCATTGGGACAGCCCACCCGGACACGACGGAGCCGGCTTCCAATTAAAAATCAGTGGCGGAAAGAAAGGGAGGCAGCCCTGCTCTGCCGCCCCGCCCCTGACGCAAGCCCGCCTCTCCGCCTACCCCTTCTGCCCGCGCGGGCCGTGCTCTAGCCGTGCGGGCCGCCGTGCGACTAGCACACTGACTGGCGCAGCGAGTGACAGCTGCGGCAACAAACGGAACGGAACACAAACAAACACGCGCGGTGGCGGTGAGGCGGCCATGTCAGTCAGTAGTGTTCCGAGGGACCTGTCATGGACTGCGGCACCGCGAGCACGGCGAGCACGGCGATGGCGCGCATCCCGGTGCGAATCAATCGCGCCCCGCGCCTCGCGCGCTGCAAGTAGTCCATCCGCCTCGCATTGCAACTAGCCAAAGGCCCCCGCGCCGCCACTGGCATCGCATAATTCTCGAACGGGTTGTTTGAAAGGCGCTGGCTTCACTGGCGATGGACGCCGCGCTCCCTTTTCAAAGGGGTCGACCGACCGGGCGGCGCGGCTGGGCCAGAAGACCGGTGGAGGCGGCCAAAACTCGAAACGCGTTTTGAGCTAAACAGGCTTCAAACCAAACGTGCGACCCCACCAATGGATTCCTCGTTCGGAGAGCAATCCATTGGTGGGGTCACACGTTCGATTCGAGGCCTCTTTAGCGACTCTGGAGCTCAAAACGCCTCAAGAGTTTTGGCCGCCTCCACCGGTCTTCTGGCCCACTGTGCGCGGGAAGGGAGGAAGTGCGGCCGTCGCAACGCCTAAGGCGCCAATACCCCCTCCCTCTCCCCCACCCCCTCTCCCGAAAACACCGCGCAGAGTTACGGCGGGAAAAAATTAAAGAGTACCAACAGCAGCCTTTCGCTGCGAAATGAATGCAGAACAATCCTCCCCGCGAGTCGCGAGGTACGCGGCGCGGCAGGACGCCGACAGCCAAACTGGCGTGGCGTCGCAACGCCGCATCGGCCACATCGCATCGCGCGGCGCGGCCAAGCAAACGCGTGATTTACGGAGCACTATTTCTACCCCGAAAGTTTGAAGGCGTCGTAAATGAGGAAGAAGCAGCTTGCTCGCGAGTCGTAATGCAGAAAGGGGAGGGGGCGATCGCGAGGCCGAGTGTCGCAATCGACACTGGCACACTGGCATGCCGCGACTGCAAAGCGAAGCGAGCAAGCACAGAGGCGAAGCAATCTATTTCCGCAACCTAACTGGTCCCTTGAATCTCCCGCAGGCTTTAATTTCGATATTTTGCCGCGCAAGGTTTAATTTTTGACTCGGTTTTCTCACGCGTCGGCGACATTCGTCCGGACGGCAATAATCCGAGCTGGCCATCGGTCTCGGCTTCATTCACGCATCGGCTCCGTGATCCGCGCGCCGTCGTGCCCCCTCCCCCCACCCCCTCCCCGCCACCCCCAGACGCGTCGCGACGCGCTGGGCCCCTCCACCTTCAGGCCCATGGCGACCTGCCCCCACCCCCCGCGCCACGCGAGGCTATAAATTTGCCATAGGGTCATTCTGGACGTCGAGCCGTGTCACACACAACATTTATTACAACTAGTCAGCCACGGCGGGGTTGGTTCGGACGGGGTGCGGGGTAAAGTGGAGTTTTAAGTGGTTGAAAAAGAGCTTTTCCACGCAGGCCCGAGGGTGTGGGGGCGCGTTTTTTTAAAAGATTAATAAAAGCGAGCCGCAGGGTGTCGTTTGCGCGCGAACGCGGCTTTTATAGGGGCGAAAAAGATAAAGGCGGGTAAAATATAGCGCGCGTGATGTTCCCGCTTCCCGCACGCCTCGCGGCCTGATCGATGTCCACGACAAAGACACGCAAAATGAAAGCTCACCGTTCACTTGTCGCCGGCGCTCCAGTCTCCCTCCATCCGCCAGACGGAGAAGGCGAGGCTCAGCTTCTCGTGGTTGACGTAGGAGCACGTCCCGGAGGACGCCCCGGACGCCCCGGACGCGGCCAGCAGGGCCAGGCGGCTGGCGGGGGAGCAGGGGCCGCTGCCGCCCCCGGAGGGACTGCCCCGGCCGCATCCTGGACTCAGACGGTCTGCAACAACAACAGGAAAACGCGCTCAGAAAACGGCCTGGCAAAACAAGGACGGGGGCGCGCATCGGGCGGGGAGGAAGGGACTGGCAGGGACAACTGTTGCTGGGGGCGGAGAAGGGTTGCCGAGGCACCGCCGCTTTGGGGTAGGTCACGGCGATCCGTAAAGCCCCGCCGATGCCGCGGGCCGCGGGGCCGCCAAAGCGCTCTGGACGTCACCATCACTAAGCCGACGACACCCCCCGCCCCGCCCGGCGAAGACGCGACGGGCGACAGCCTGAACGCCAATCTGAAAGTCGTTGCGTTCAACTTACCGGCGTTCAAGTCGTTGAGCGCGCTGTGGTGCTCGGCGAGGCTGGAGATGGCGCTGGCGCCGCCCGAGTTGAGCAGCACCTGGTACAGGAAGTCGATGTAGCGCGCCGCCAGCTTGAGCGTCTGGATCTTGGACAGCTTGTCGGAGGGCAGCGTGGGGATGATCTTGCGCAGCGAGGCGAAGGCGTCGTTGAGGTTCTGCGTGCGCTGCCGCTCGCGCACGTTGGCCATCACGCGCTGGCTCTGCATGTCCTCCACGTTCTGCGGCGACGACCGACGGCGCACCTTGCAGGCGCCGCCCCGCTGCGACAGGCCGTCCTCGGAGCTGCTGCAGTCCACCTCGCTCAGCTTCCGCTTCCGGCAGTACTGCTGTTCCTCTTCCTCCTCCTCCTTGAAGTCCTTGACGTCCTTGAAGTCGTCGTCGTCGTCGCCCTCCTCGCTCAGCGGCGCTTCGCTGTAGTGGTGGTGGTGGACGGCGTGCTGCTGCATGTAGTCGTTGTTGTGGTGCAGGAGGTGGGCGTCGCTTACTTGGCCGCTGCTGTCCGGGACGTGGTGGAGCTTGGTGTCGTCCGCGGGGCTGGGGATGTAGACGGGGTGGTACGGCAGGGGCTCCTCCTTCACGATGTTGTTGTTGTTGTTGATAATGTGGTGCTGGTGCGGGAGCTGGTGCTGATGTTGGTGCTGGTGGTGCTGCTGCAGGTGCTGGTACGGCATGGCGTTGTAGTACCCGTGCGACGAGTACTGGCTGAGGTCCGTGAGCTGGCTGGGGCTGCCGACGCCGGCGCTGCTGCTGCTCGTGGGGCTTGTCGGCGGGGACAGCGGACACCCGCCCACCGAGGCGCTGGCGTCCAGGACGGTCTGCGGCGACGAGTACAGCGGCAGCCCGTGGAGGCGCTCCTCCAGGGTGTGGGTGGGCATGGTGGCGCCGGCGTACATGACGTTCATCGCGCCCCCCATGGCGCTCATGGCGGGAAGGTAGCTCAAGGACATGGTTCACTGGGTTCACGACGTCACGGCACTGTCACTGCGCGGGGGTCTCTGGCACCGGAGCGAGGTGAGGCGCTTCGCTTCGCGTCAAAGAAAGGACTGACTGCGCCAGAGGCGGGCCGGCGGGCCAGGGCCAGGACGCCGGCGGGCGGCGCTCCCCGCTGCAGCCGTGCTGCCACCCCTGCCAGGGCGCCGGGGCCTCGGGCGGCGCGAGCGACGCCGGCGTGCTCGCCCTGCGTGGGGCCCGGGGCCTCCGCCTGCAAGCTCCGCCTTCGGCTGCGGCGGCCAGCCGCGCTGGCAGCCAACACCATTTCGGGAGGACCGCCCCCAAGCCGGCCAGGCAACGCCAGGCGGCGGTGGAGGGGGGCCCCGAAGAAGAGCCAGCGCGTCGCTGCGGAGGCCGCGGAGCACGGCGACGACGGCGACACCACGGCGACGACGCGCGGAGCAAGGAAAGTGCTGCAGCGCGAATAATGCCGTGTTCTTGGGGCTTTATGCTGCTTTATGCAGTGTGTGACACGTGTGTGTGTGACACCGTGTGTGTGCGTGCCCCGGCCACCTCGGCCCGAACTGGCCGCACAGTGTGCCGCACATGTGTGGAAACGTGGAAACGGGAAGCAGCGACTTGTTGATGACCTGCGGACAGTTTCGGCGGAACGCGTCGGCGCTGGTGGCGGTGAATGCGTGTCGGATGAAAACCGCGGGCTTTGTCCTGCTGGTCCTGCGACACTGGAAGCGAGCACACTACGCGGCGCGGGCGTCGCGGCTCATGCGGCGGCCTGCCTCCCAGGCGGTTCGCGGAGCTGAAGTCAAAAAGCACCGGCAGAAATATTTTTCGGTGACGAGCAGGTGGATGGTGGGGCCTCAAATATTGTCTAACTGCCGATAACGGACACTGCGGCGGAAAAATGAAAACGCGAAGTCGCTGGACTGGTACTTGAACCCGGGCCCCCGGCGTTGAATACCGGTACACGCCGCGGCCATTGAAAGCGCAATGAAAACGAGACGACAGTGAGTGAGTTTCGGCGTGATTTTTCCAAACGAGGAATTGGCGGGAATTTTGGCGTTCTGACTCCGAGGACGCGGCCAGCAGTTTGTCCTTTTCTTTCTAAATAAACGTTGATGTGCGGTGCAGGGCGTGCAGGCTGGGCCGGCGGCGGAGCGGCGGGGGGTGTCAAGTTGCCGGAAGGTCGCAGGGCGGGGGATGGAGCGGAGGGGAGGAAGGGGCTGGTGGGGCGGGAGGGCCCCCCACAAAATGCGACCGTCACGGCCAGGACAGGGATGCGCGGCAAGTCGATGAGGTTTTCCACATTGTTATTACTTGCATGCGATATGTGGAACACATGGCCGGGCGGTGCACAGTGCGGTGCACGGCGCGGACGCCTCAAAGGCCGCCTTCGCGGACCCCGCCGCTATGCGGTTTGACACGTCGGCCGAGACAAGAACAAATTACCGTCGAAAAATTCTTGCAATTAGATGATAAGACTTTCACGCATGTGATAACGCACGCACGTCGGGAGCGCATGACTGGCACTGTTCATGGCGAGTTCAATTAGTTCCTGTTCCCACACGGAGAGAGTTTTCGATCTTTCCACTGACTTCTCATTAGAATGACCGTGGACTAGAGCACATATTTTTTCGAACGCGCGCAAGACTTTTTCATTTCTCTCAAAAAATGAGTTTGTGGTATTTCTGGAAAAGCCGGCGGACGCAGGGCGGCGGGACGCAGCCGGCCGAGAGACTTGTTGCGCCTTTGTTGTGCAAAGCGTTCTAGGAAGATGAACGCGCGGCCAGCACACTGGTTCCGAGAGTCGTTTTCGTCGCTCTGTCTCTCTCGCACTCATGGGGCGTCCCGTATGGGTGCGAGAGAGACAGAGCAACGAAAACGACTCTCGGAATCAGTGTGCAGCCCACGGCCAGCCCTTGCCCTACACGGCTTGTCCGCCACGCCCCTCTGTCTCTCTCCCTCCAGGTCGTTATTTCACAGCGGGGCTCTGTCCGGGCAAGGGCAGCGAGGGCAGCGAGGGAGGCTGGACCGACACTATGCCATATGCAAATGGTCGTGAAACAAAAGAAGGCCACTGTCACGGTGGTCTTGCGCCTAATGGGCATACTCCGCGCGCAAAAATGGGACCTGCAATCATTTTTTCGGGAAGTTTCGGCAAGGAAACAAAATATTTCGCAAATGAAATGTGCAACCTCGATGGGTGGCTTCTGGAACCCGAATTCTGAACACCGCCGCTGATCAGCCTGCTGTGGCGGGAAAAGAAGAAAAGAAGAGGAAAAGAAGAAAAGTAAATGAAGAAAAGAAGAGGGAAAGAAGAACAGGAAGAGGGGATCGCGGATTGCAGTGTGCCGTTGCCGCCTCGCGCGTCAACCTTTGACCCTTTGATCGCTGCCTCGCTGCCTTTGAGCAAACGGCCCCGCGGCCCCACGGCCCCCTGCGTGGCCCCCGCCGAGAAGCGTGGCGGACACGGAGTGCGCGGCGATGGAGACAGACACGCTGGCCGCGCGCCAACCCCGCCAGCCCCGCCAGCCCCGCCAGCCCCGCCAGCCGCTCCACTCCGAGCAGTGCTCCGTCTCTCTCGCACTCGCGGGGGTTCGGCATGGGTGCGAGAGAGACGGAGCGACGGCTGTGCGACACAGGAGGAGCTCGGCGGGACGGGGAGGGCCTCCGCGGCGTCCTCGGCGCGGTCCGTGTCGACGCGACGCGCCGACGCGCCCGACAGGACGGTCGGGACAAATTTCGATTAATATTCCCGTTGAAATTCATTCATCCTGTTAAACACGTCAACTTCTGTTTGAGCGGCCGTGAGCATAAATCCAAGCAGTCGTCACCGTCAGGCAGTGGAGGGGAGGGGAGGGGAGGGATGGTGTCTTTGGCGCCGCGGCTCGGACGGTGAAGCGCGCGAGGCCCGCGACGACGACCCTTTCCGACATTCGCACGGCGTACGAGCTCATGATCAGGATGAATATCATCAACACTATCAGACACACTGGCAAAGGCTTACTTCCGGCGGAAAATGTAAACGAACGGATTTTCCTCGTGCTCCCCTAAAAACTCCAATACCGGCCAAGGGCTTTATCGGCCACTTGTCGGCCGCCGCCGCGCGCCGTCCCTCGCAGATGGGGCCCTTCTTTGAGGGCTGCGGGAAGAGGGAGCCGCACCGCGCCGTCCTCGGAGAGCGGCCTGCCGGATTTCGCACCATCCGGCGTGCTGGCGGTGCTGACGGTGCGGTGCCGGCGTCGCGGGTGGCGGCCGCCGCGGCCCTCCAGCGCCAGGACGGCCAGAAGGGCCACAAGGGCCTCGGCGCTAAAAGCGGAAGTGCGGCCACGTGGACGGCCTGCTAGGCCAGAGGGGGGGAGAGAGGAGGGCTCGCAACGGCACCCGGCGGGGTAACGGGTTTCGCACCGCAAAAATGATTCGCACCGTTTTCGCACGGCACTTACTTGAGGCACCGGCAACACTCTGTAAATAACGTCGCAACGCAAACGCGGCGTGTTTGGCCAGGCTGCCAGTGTGCTGCCGAGGCTGCCGTGCAGCTGGGGCGGTGCTGGAGCGGCAGGCGGCCGGCTTACCTGGGCGCACCACGCCGACGGTGTCGGTGCGCGCACACTGCGAGCCGGCGGGCCGCTGGAGGACTGCTGGGATGAGCCGGCCGGGCCAATAAAACTGTTTCCTGACAAATTGGGAACCATTATTAGTTTTTCGCCGAATGGACTGGAAGAGGCCGGCAGGAAGGAGACACAGAGGCTCCCGCGCGGCCACCTGCTCCTCGCCGTCGGCCTCGATGAACTCGGCGGCGATGGACTTCGCCGGCCTCAGCAGAGGGTGCCTGCCAGTGTGCCTGCCGGCCGGGCGTGAGTCACAAAGAGGTCGCCGACGTCGCCGACCAACGGACACGCGGACACGCGGAGCCGCCAAAGGACACGAATGACAAACGAAATGACGCTCTGTGTTGTCGGAATCTAGAGGGTAGTTTTAGAAAAGCGTTCACCGTCTTTCTGAACGCTTCGCCGTCTCGTTCGCCGTGCTCTCGCGGTTGGCGACGGCGACTCCGCGACACTGCCGAGCGCAGCAGCTTCCTCGGAAAGTCTAAATGATGAGCGTTTCCGGGTTGCGCCTGCTAATGCGTCTCCGAGCGTTCCGTCGTCCGCCGTATCGGCTCGGTGGATGGGCGTGGCGGGGCAGGGCTTGGCGGGCCGGGGGTGGAAACTCTTGACAGATTCCCAGAAGCCCCGCCGCGCGCTTTGGGCTGCTTTGGCACGATATAATGAGTTTCTCTTCTAATTACCATTCGGGCCGACGCTGCCGGAATGCCATCTCGGAGACTTCGGGGCGCGTCGGGGGTGCCGAGGGGTCGCCGACGTCGCCGAGGCGCGAAGGGGACCTGTTCGGCTCATTTTTGACACCGAGGCTTTTTTTCGGGCCGCTGGTTGAAGGGGTTAAGGGCGATGAGACTGCCGCTGAAAAATGAGCGTTGGCGGGGGAAGAGGGGGGGGGGGTTGCGTGTGTGGTGGTTGATGGTGGGAGCCCCGGGATGTGACATCAAAACTACAATGATTATTACCACACCAGCAGTCGATTTCGGCTATTTTTTCCCGCCTATATATTCAACCCGCGCTGGTGTCTTCTTCCCCCGACGGTCTTTGAGTCTAAACAAAACAACAACACGCATGCCGCCGAGCAGCCGAAGCCGTGAAGATGAGCGGCGAAGGGGAGAAAAAATCGGTTTGACTGCGTGCAGGCCGTGCAGGCCGTGCGGGCGGAGTTAATGATATGGATTTCGGGCGGGTTTTGAGTAAGTCCGATGTGTTATGTTCTCGGTACGTGTGTTAAAGTCCGGCCCCGCCGGCCCAAACAACCCTTTGAGCGCGACCCCCGCCGCGCGGCTCGGCTCGGCCCGCCCCGCCCGCCCCGCGGCCACACGCCCCGGGCCGACAAAGGCCTAACAAAAACACGCGGGCTCCACGGCCAGCAACGTGCAGGGGGTGCACGCCAAAGACGCCGCGAGGTGCAGTGCAGTGTAGGGTGCAGTCCGGTCCGAGTCCGCGGCGGCAGGTCGCGGACCGGGGTCGTC